TTATTCCACAACTTTATATTCCTAATTACCACCCTTCCCAACTCACCATTTGGATAAATAGCGTCACCATTATCCCATGCCCGAAGCTGCATTGGTCCTGAATCACTCCTATTTCTTTGAATCCCCACTCCACTTAGCAGAGCAATATTTACACTACAGTTTGAGGATGTGGATTCAATTTGACGACCAAGGAAAATGCTGGTGGGTATGAGGGATGCTCAGAAGGACTGATAAATTGCCTAGGAAATGTGAGTGGCTTGCTTCACAGGGACAAAGGCTAACATTTGTCTTAGTCTTGGGGACTTATCCCATTCTCTTTCCTTCCCTGAGCTAGTGCTCATTTCCCCAATTAAAATAAACTACTAGTAATTGAATTCTGTATACATGGTCTATTCCTGTTTCCATTTGTCATGATGGTGGTGATAGCAAAAGTTTAGTAATAATATTCCTCATCTCTAGAAAAGAAATGATAGTAATTCAATTTGTTATTATGAGTATTAAGTGTTCATAGTGTTTAGTACAACCCTTTGCACCCAAGTAAATACTAATTGTTATTATTTAGTCATTGTCAACAATATATTCACATATTCCTCTATGATTATTTCACTTTGACTTGTACCATTTAAGCTCCAAAAAATACCATCTTTATTCTTTAATAAATTCTTACCATAACTTTATAAGATTAAATTCAGCCCTGACCGGTTTGGCTCAGTGGATAGAGCATCGGCCTGAGGACTGAAAGGTCCCAGGTTCGATTCCAGCCAAGGGCATATACCTTGCTTGTGGGCACATCCCCAGTAGGAGGTGTGCAAGAGGCAGCTTATCGATGTTTCTCTCTCATCGATGTTTCTAACTATCCCTCTCTCTTCCTCTCTGTAAAAAATCAATAAAATATTTTTTTTTAAAAAAAGATTAAATTCACATTCTTCACTTTGGGAGTTAAAATTCAATAGTTGTAAAATCCTAAACAAGTTATTTTACAGAGCCTCTATTTCCTTATTTGAAATAGGGATAACATTATGTCCCAAGTTAATATAAGGTTAAACTTACTAATATATATCAACAGTGCTTGGGGGACTGCAAAGAATTGTCTACATGTTAGCTTTTTCATTTGTGCTGTAAGCTTTGTCTTGGGCTGATGCAATCAAGAAAACAGCTCCAAAGAATCTTTGGCCACCACCCTAAGACCTTGATTCTACTAGGCAATGAGCCATACATCATTTTTTGATGGCTACAAGATACCAGCTCAGTTCAAGCAGTTACAAATTCCCTGAGGCATAAGACCTTCTAATTATAGAAGCCATTTACGAAAGCATTTTGCACAGAATGATGCAAAAAGAGAATGATTCATTCTCCTCAGGTGAAAGTGATGTACTGCGTACTTCCTGGCAGCTGGAAGTGCCCAGCTGCCTTTTGAAGCATCCCCAAATAAGCTGCTGTGTCCAGCATGTGCCAACCCCCCAGGAAATGCTGACGCATTTTAGGACCCTCTTGAAAGCATAACAAATTCAAGCTAAGACCCCTTCCTCCCTCTGTGTCTGCTGAGGTTATTTCAGATATCCACCCCACCATACATCTCCATAGCTCTTGGTCGTTGCCTCAAATACAAGTCACTCCACCCATCTATTACGCTCATTCACTTGTGTTCATGCTACTGTTGATTTTTTTACCTCCTCTGATCCAACCACCTCCTGCTCTTCCTCTACATCCAGAACCTGTTCACCAGATGGTTCATGTTCTTATTGACCCCAAACCCCTTCCTCCACAACTTCTGGTAATAGACTTGCCTTACCCATAGGGAAAAGCATGTGACTAAAGTTGGGCCACAAAGGTTGACCTGGACATGATCAAGCAACCAAGCCAGCCTAGTCTAAGGCTTTCCTGGGTATTGTTCTGATAGAACCTCAAGTGACCGTATTCTCTGCCATGTAAATAACATCTATTTACAATAAGGAAAAATGAGACCAAACTGAAACAAAGAAACAAGAGGGATGTAGAAATAGTCCTACTCTTCCTGGGAGTGGCCTGAGGCGACCTCTGAAAATGGTTCGCTATTCACTGGACCCAGAAAACTTTACAAACACTCATGAAACTACCCAGGCCATCAAGGATATGCAGATTCCAAAAGCCACCAGAAGCATCGTGTGCCATCCTGTCATTACAGTGGTGGAGTTGGTAGGTGTGCCCAGGCCAAACAGTGGGGCTGGACGCAGGGCCAGTGGCCCAAAAAGAGTGCTGAATTTTTGCTGCACATGCTTAAAAAGGCAGAGAATCATGCTGGGCTTAAGGGTGTAGATGTAGATTCTCTGGTCATTGAGCACATCCAGGTGAACAAAGCTCCCAAGATGCCGTGTAGAACCTGCACAGAGCTCATGGGCCAATTACCCATTACCTGAGCTCTCCCTGCCACAGTGAGATGATCCTTACTGCAAAAAGAACAGATTGTTCCTAAACCAAAAGAGTGGTTACCAGAGCCCAACAGAGAGCTATGGAGATGGTGCCTAACAGAAGAGGGCAAGCATGCAGGGTAGCAGCTTGCAGTGCCTGACTGAGCACATCAGCAGTACAAAGACTGACCGTTTCTGCCCAGCGTACTGGAGCTGCCCACTGGGCCGGCCAAAACTTTGCTACACAGTCTGAAGCTCTTCCTGCCCAGTCCTCCTTCCTTCCTTTCACAGATGTCAGACCTGTGCTATAGTCTGAAGGCTTTCCCTGCTGACTCCTCTTCCCTTTGTATTTCACAAATGTTATTGTCAATAAATCTCTTATGATTCTAAGTCTGTTTTGGCATCTGTTTCCTGCGAAACCCAATTAGACAACCACACGTCTTCTGTCTTGCCAAATACAAATGATCACCCCAGGTCCTAGGCCTGACCAGAGTATGGTAGGTTTATGTGGCTGAAAGATCAGTGGGGATATTTTCTCATCAAAGAGTGAAAAATAATTGAATTTTAAGGTATGAAAAAGTCAATTTCAGTTTAAAAACTCAACTTCAATGGAACAATTAACTTCCAAGTAACCTAGAACCCTTCCATTGCACCCGTCACCAAGCAAGTCTTGAAAACACCCATCACATCAGCGATTATTTGTCTATTATCTGTCTTTCATTCCAGGCATATGAGTTTCAAGAACAAAGACTCTTTCCTTTGGGGATAATAAAAATGTTCTAAAGTTAGATTATTGTGATGGCTGCACAACTTTGTAATACACTAAAAACCATCAAATTGTGCACCTAAAATAGAACTATGTGATATAAATTATAGCTCAAAGCTATTAAAACATATAATTATAAGAGAGCAGTCAGTGAAGGTTTCAAAGAGGTCACACATGAATGAGATTTAGAGGAATGGGTAGGAGCAGTAGTTCTCAACCTTCTGGCCCTTTAAATACAGTTCCTCATGTTGTGACCCAACCATAAAATTATTTTTGTTTCTTCTTCATACCTGTAATGTTGCTACTGTTATGAATCGTAATGTAAATATCTGATATGCAGGATAGTCTTAGGCGACCCCTGTGAAAGGGTCGCGACCCACAGGTTGAGAACCGCTGGGTAGGAGTGTCCTGGGGGAAGAGGAGAAAGCATTCTGGACAGAAGCAGTAGACACATAGCCAGGGGAGAGCGCATGCTGTACAGCGTATGAAGTCAGTAATGCTGGTACTAGGAGATTGGGGCCTATCCAGGCAGGGTTTGAGCCTCTCTGAATAAGCAGGGGCCAAATCATCATGGGCTAGTAGTCATGGGGGAAACCACCAAAAACTTTGAGCTTATTTGAAGCATCATTCTAATGTGAAAACTGGAAGGCGATTTGGAGGTGAGTGAAACCAGTAATAATTTGACCAGAAAGGAGGAACACAATAACAGCTAATATTTATAGAGCCCTAACCCTCTACTAAGCACTTTCCTTGAATCATCTATTTAGTTGCTAAAGTAGGCACTTACGGTAATCTTTTTATAGATGATATCCGGGTGGCTTGCTCCCTCACCTCCTTGAGGTCTTCAAGCAAATGCAACTTCCCAACACTGTCCCTATTCCCTTGCTTCATTTTTCTCCGGGACCCTCATCTCATTTTAACATGTCCTACTTTTTAAATCTTGTTTAAAGATTCCCCACCGCTAGACTGAAAGCCCATCAGAATAGGTTAATTTGTATTTTTAATTCAGTTCTGTATCCCCAGTGCCTAGCTACCCAATAAATATTCTTTGAATAAATGAATGCATAAATGAATGCGGAAATCAAGACTCACAGAGTTTACGTAACTTGTTCATGATCACACAGATTATAAGTGGCAGAATTCTGGTTCAAAAACCCGCATTCTTAGCCCAGCCAATGTGTCTCAGTGGTTGAGGGCCAACCTATGAACCAGGAGGAGGTCACCGTTGGATTCCCGGGTTGTAATGGTGATTCTCTCATCATCTCTCTCTCCCTCTCTCTGAAAAAAAAAAAAATTATATATATATTTGTTGTTGTTTTTTTATTTTATTTTTTTTGAGGCTTTTTGGAAATTTCATAATGCAGTCCCGCAGGCCGATGCTCTATCCACTGAGCCAAACCGGTTTCGGCTGTTGTTGTTTTTTTAAAGAAGTGACACTCAACAAGGAAGCAGGCACTGACAACCCAGCCCAAGGTAGCCAGGAGGGCGGGAAAGCATGCCTGCGGCCCTGCCCGCCACAACACGTGGCGGTCAGCGCCCGGGCTGGGGATTTAGCCTGTTCACTCCGCTCGGGAAGTTTGTGCCTCAACCCCTGTTCTGGCGCGGAGCAGGGGTGGCACGTTGCTTGGCGCAGGCTTCTGCCCTC